ACAGGCTGAAGGCTGAGGCTCCATCCAGGCAACCTTCCCACACAAGAGATGAAGGTCAACTGAACTGCAGGATAACTTGTTTGGAAATATTATGTCTTGGGACAGCTGTGGGATAATGCTCTTATATACTATAAAGATTTGTCACACATATTAGTTTAATTAAAAAAAAACCTGATTGGCCAGTAGCCAGGCAGGAAGTATAGATGGTCCGACCAGACTAAGAATTCTGGTAAAAGGAAAGGCAGAGTCAATTGTCACCTAGATGCAGAGGAAGTAAGATGAGAATCCCTCACTGATAAAAGGTACCAAGCCACATGTCTAAACACAGATAAGAATTATGGGTTAATTTAAGTTGTAAGAGCTAATTAATAATAAGTCTGAGCTAACAGACTGTGTAAGTCTCTGTGTGTTTCTTTGGGACTGAACAGCTGTGGGATTGGGTGGGACAGAAACTTCCATTTACATGGGACTCTATAATACCGTGGAAGCAAACTTCTAGTTTCCTTTAACAGAATATCAGCATGAGAAGAGTGAACGGCAAAAGGAATATCCCACCCAAGGAGTATGGCAAGTATCCCGGGCACTTGATGGGTGGGACACGGGGCCAGAATCACATGGATCAGAGGTTCTCCATTTTTCCTAATGCTGCAGCCTGTTAGTACAATTCCTCATGTTGTGGTGACCTCCAACTACAAAATTATTTCACTGCTACTTCATAACTGTAATTTTGCTACTGTAGTATGTAAAGTTTTTTGGCCCAATAAGCTTCTCTGCTGACGCAATAATCCATATCAGACCAAATCAAACCAAATTAGAAAAAGCCTAGGATTAATGGATGTCAGCGCTCCTCAGTGGCCCTCCAGGAAAACACAGAGACTGGGAAGAAGAACCAGAAAGACCATCTGTTTGTTCTCTGGGGGCAGTTTAAAGAGCCTATGGGAGTGGTCTTGACCCTCTCTGGGGAGGGGTCACCGTTTGGAGGACTTTCTCGGAGGTGGAGTCTGGACTGTGGCAACTCCCAGGGGAGGGGACCTGGACCTGTGGTGTGGTCTCATGGCCTGCTGCCCCCTGCCTCCACTCAAGGGCCTGCAGCGGTTTACTTAAATTATAACACTAAGGCCTTGTAGTTCAATTTAATAGAATGCAGTAGTCAGAATAATTGAAGGGCCATCTCATAGCACCCGGGATCTACAAATTTAGAGACTGAGGAGTGACTACAGGGCAAAGCAAAAACAAAACAAAAGACCCGGAAAAGTCCAGGAAGATCTGCACCAAGTTCTCAGGGAGAATCTGAAACAGCGTTACACTCAGCAGGAAGGAGGCTGGCGGCCATGTTAACCCCTCTTCTACAAGAGGGTAAAAGGAGCTATGGGAGATTTTCCCAGAAGGAGAAAAGTGTCTCTAGTTTTCCAGTGAAAATGAGTGAGAAAAGGACTAACCATCGGGAGAATTCCAAGACTTGCCAGAGGAAAAGAATCCCTTTATCACCCGTAGTGTGGATGCCCAGCGCACACCGCCTTAAATCCGTACACGTCAGTCCGTTTGAGCTACCGTAGCCAAGTGCCATAGCCTGGCAGGACTGCGTGTTTGTGGTGATAGGGTTGGAAGCCAGGACCCAGCGCATACTAGGCAGGCGCTGAGCTACTACATTCCCAGCCCATCTAGGAGGCTTAGACATCACAAATACTATTTTCTTGATCTTCTGAAGGCTGCTTGTCCATGATCGGGGTGTAGACAGAGTTAATTTTTCCTAAAGTGTCTCTACTTGGCTTGTAAGTGGCTACCTTTCTCTATATACAAATTCCCACTTCATATAAGAACTTCAACCAGTCCCTGGCCAGCTCTAATTCAACTTAACTGTCTCTTTAAAACTCTGTCTCCGAATAGTCACATTCAACCCCAAAGAACTCTTTATACATAAAATTACAAATGTTCAGACATTATCAGGAATCCACTTTCTAATAATGCGCTAATAAGATGAGTCTGGCCAGGCTGTGCACACACCTTTAATCTCAGCACTCAGGAGGCAGAGGCAAACTCTCTGAGTTTGAGACCACTCTGGTCTACAGGGCAAGTTCTGGGACAGTCAGGGTTACACAAAGAAACTCTATCTCAAAACAAACAAACAAATTAATAAATAGATAAGATCAACCAAGAAGTGGATATAATGTCCAGGCTAATTTCTTGGACTTCTTTGGCCCTGGAAAATAGTATCTAATTTCAAAGCAACATGTCGGAGAAGTAGATACAAGAAATCTTTGCCTGACATTTTGTTTCTTTAACCTTTGCTCCAAGAAGGACAGAAGGACAGACCTTCCTTGCACCCTGCCATCCTCTGCCCGATTTTGGGCTCCTGCCCATGCACTTCGCATGAGGCCTCCTGGTGACCCAGGCACACATGGACGGAGTAGCCTGGGGACATCAAAGGACAGGAAAGTTGAGAAAGAGTTTTTTTAAGCCAGAGCACACATGCCGTGGCTTGCTGTTTAGCATGGCTTCCAGCCTCTGGAGGTGGTAACATATGGGCGAGAGACAGACTGGATGAAGAGCTGTCTCACATGTCCACTGAGGCTTGCCATTTACACACAGAAGGGGTGTGTTATCCATTATAAAAGGCTGATTTCAGTATTCAGTGAGTAACAGATTCATTAATTTATTTAGGTTTTGTAATGCCAGGGATTTAGGGCTTCAAGCATTCAAGGCAAGTAAACTTAGACTTATTCACTATGAATAGTCTTTTTTTCTTTCTTTCTTTCTTTTTTTTTTTTTTGGATTTGATGCTGAGGACAGGAATCAGGGCCCTACCCAGACTAAACATGCCCTCTGCCACTAAGGTACCTGTTACAGGGTATGGCTGGCATACCGTGTCCTCTATCCCGAACTCTCCAGCCCAGGAGGTGGGCTACAAATGTGTGAATGTCAAGCTCAAGAATATTAATTCATACAATCGTCACAAAAACCATTCTGTACTTGAATGGAGGTAAGATAAAAGAGAAACTTGGCTGGCTTCAATCTTCATACCTGTCAAAGGCACACCATTCTGTGTTAAGGGCTTTGTCAGTTAGACAAGGAAGTTATCAATATTTCCCACAGATGGGTTCAGATCTGTAATAAAAGTTTTATACCATGTTATAACTGAACTTTCAGATTAGATCATGGGAAAGGGGTAGATATGTTCAGAAAGGGGATCAAGTAAATGCCGAAGTTAAATCCATTAATAATAATAATAATTTCTTGAGAGAGGGTTTCTCTGTGTAGCCTTGGCTGTCCTGGAACTAGCTCTATTGATCAGGCTGGCCTTGAACTCACAGAGATCCTCCTGCCTCTGAGTGCTGGGATTAAAGTTATGTGCTCCACCAACCTGCCAAAGTCAAATCTTATCATCCCTAATTTTAATCTCTAATGAAAATCATCAACGCAACACGGGCCACTTTTTAATTTTTTGTCAGTTCTCAAAGAAACCCTGGACTAGTCCTAGTACCTTACCTAGGACTCTTCTCAGCACATTTCTCCTGCCCACTACTCTATCCCTCCCTCTGAGAGGCTGAGCTTCTGTTTCCCCTCCTCCCGCCCCCCAGTTTCTCTTCCTTATATAACTCAGGCATTTTGGCCACATACCCTCTTTGGTTCTCTTGGCTCCTGGCTGTCTCTGTGCCTGCCTTGCTCTTGGGTCCGGTTCCCCCCCCCCCCCCCCCCCCCCCCCCCCCCCCCCCCCCCCCCCCCCCCCCCCCCCCCCCCCCCCCCCCCCCCCCCCCCCCCCCCGCCACTCCTCACCCCTACTCTATGGTCTAGGTCAGTCTACTGGCTATGTTCAGTTCGGACTCTCCAGATGTCTGGAGCTGTGCGAACACTCACTTCTACAATAAACCTTCTCTTCAACCATGTCTTACAGGGGCCATGTCCTCCTTTTTCATCCAATTTAAAATTACGTATACATATTTCTGTACACGCCTGTGTACGTGCGCGCGTGCGCGCGTGGTCAGAGGACAATTTTCAGGAGTGGGTTCTCTCCTTCCACCATGTAGGTTCCAGGGATCCAACTTAGCTTGGAAGCACCTGCTGAGCCATCTTCGCCTACCTCACATTTATCAAAGACGCATTCAAGAACAGTTCCGGGGTTTCTCCGAAGCTCTAAACGCTATGGGGGGGGGGGGAACACGCACAAAGATGGAGCATAGCGGCCCCATGCTGACCGGGGCAATCTTTGGTCCCCTTTTCTGTGCCATGGGATGAGCTAGGTGAGGCAGAGCCTTCAAGCTGACCCCAGCTAAAAAGGCTTACTGCCTTCTTTAAGTTAAGTTAGAAAAAAACCCAAAAAGTCCCGTCAACGTTTTTACACGCACTCCTATCCTCCTCCCAGACTCTTGAGAAGTGGCAGGCACTTCTTAATTTTGTTTGGGTCGACTTTTTTGTAAGTGGTGCGTGAAGAGACTCGAAGTTACACTTTGGGACGTTCAGGAAATGCCTTCCTAGTGTTTGCGTTTTTCGTGATAGGCGTGGACTAGCCCAAGGTTAAAACGGTCACTCCTCGCTAAAGAAATTCTAATCTCAGTCACAGCTAGGGCTCCAAGAAGTTTTGAGTTTAATTGTTTACAAACCCCAGTGACAGTCTTGGTGTTTGGCTTGCGGCTCCCACCCACCACACACCCGCGGGACACCTTGGCAATACGTGCCCTCGGGAATGAGTGCCAGAGGCTCAGTTGCAGTCGGATTTACAGAGGCCGCCCACGACCAGCCGCCAGGGGCTGGAAGTGCCCACCTTGCCCTCCCCGCAGCCGCCCGGTCTGGACTGACTGAGAAGTGGGCGTGGTTTACCGCGTGGTTGGGCGGGGCGAGCAGGGGGGGCCCCGCGGGGGGAGAGGGCGGAGCGAACGGTGAAGGGTGGGGCAAAGAGCGCGGGGCGGGGGCTGTTGTGGGGAGGAGGAACTAATGATGAGAGGCGGGGCCTGGGATGTGAGGGCGGGGCGAGGGCGGGGCAAATGGGGCGTAGGGGGTGGGGCACGAGGCGCGCCTACTTGCGCTGCAACTTCTAGCCGGCCTTCCTGCTGCACGGCGCGCGGGCTGAGGCACGGCTTGGCGGGAACGTGAAAAGAGCGTGCGGAACCCCCGGTGTTGGCGGCGGCATCGAGTGGGAGCCCGGGTCCGGCCGCAACACGCGGAACTGAGCTGAAGGTGGCGGGGCCGGGCGAAGCCGCGATGAAACCCAGCAGCGAGGAGGAGGAGGAGGCGGTGCGGGGAGTGGGCCCCTGGGACGAGTGCTTCGAAGTGGCGGTGCAGTTGGCGTTGCGAGCGGGACAGGTGAGCACGGTGGCCGCGTCCAGCCCTGAGGCACCCCCGAGATGGGCAGCGTGGGAGTGCTGCCGGCGCGTGGGCGGGAGCGGGGCGAGTTGCAAGGACAGGGCCTGTGTTGTTTCTGGGGTGCACCTTGTTTTGGCTCTTCACCCCCCCCCTGCTGCGGGAGGAGGCGAGCTTGGGGAGCATGGGGTCACCACCATGGCGAGAAGAAGGGCGCAGCCTTCGGGAAAGCGTGAGGGACGCGCTCCTCGTTTGGCGAAGGAATGGCCAGCTGCTGGGTACTTGACCTTGGCGTTTGAGTCACCTGGAAAGCAAACGTCCCTCCCAGGCTAGAGTACCGCAGTTGGCTTCTTTTTAAGGACCAAACCTGCAGCCGGGTTGTCGAGGCCCCCTGTTTCAACCCCAGGCGCGTGGAGCTCTGGCTGGGTTGCAGCTGATTGTCCTCCGGGCATCCTGAGGCCAGGCAGCCTAGGCTCACAGCCTGAGAGCGCCTCCAGGGAGTGACTGGCACAGACCCGAGTTCAGGAGGAACTCGTTAGACTGCCGGAAGGATAGAAACCAGCGCAAAGCTGAAGAAAACCAGACTGGGTTTGAAAGCTTAACTGTGGAGTCTCTGTTTTTCTTTTTCATTTTTGTGTTCGCCCCCTAACTGTTCCTCAGTCTCTTCAGCAGTACCGAACTTATAACATTGGTGGGGTGTATATGCACTGGCTCCCCAGGATGGCAGAGCAGGCCTTGCACCGTGCTTTGCTCCTTAAAACGTGGTTGCATACTGCTGACTTCTGGGGGGGGGGGCGGAGTTACCATAGTGCTGTGCACAGAAAGACTTATATCCAAAAAAGGGGGGCATTATTTTCAGGTGTATCTGGAAAATACTCCAAAGGGGAAGTCTGTATTAAAAGGTGTTGCCATGGTGCTGGGGATGGAGCCCAGTGGTGTAGGACATATACAAAGCCATCCCAACATAGCAACAACAGGAAGAACAGATACTTTGAATTACCCTGTGCTTTATGGAGAATCCAGCCCTTCCCAGACAAGTGATAAAGCCTGTAACTCAGACAAACCCTCATCCTAGAAAATAGATCCTCTGGGAGCAGGAAGTGGCAGCCCTCTCTCCCATCTCCTCGCTTCTGTTCCAACAAGAGCATCCTTCCAGAGAGAGCGATGTCAGATGTCAGCGGGCGGAGGAACTTTAAGACTCTGCTCTAAAGCCTTTTCCCCTGGGGACTTTGAGAAACTAGGACTTAGGCACTGCAGTGTGAAAGCTGTTGAGTGGAGTTGCAGGTTCTGTGGCCTTTCAGATTTCAATCTTTAAAGGAATGGAGGTTTAAGTCATGTTTCCTATTCCGCGGTGCTCATTGGAAGTTCGCAGTACCACAGGCACAGTTGCAATTTCCCAACAGCAAAAAAGCTTTAAAAAAAAAAAAAAAAAAAGAGGCAGTGAAATAAAGATTCTGACATTAGGAGTCTGGTCAGGGAGCTCAGGACTCTGGGCGCCCTCTTGGGAATTATACGGTTTCCTGCCTGGCTGGCATTGAGCAAGGGAAAAGCTGGGAGGAAACAGAAGACACGCGAGGTCACAGTAACTAACCTGTAAAGAGGGAAAGATTCTCTAAATGATCTGTAGGAATCAGGTACTGACCGGAGAAAGCGGCCTGTAGCGAGGCAGCCCGGTGAGGGCGGAAAGACGGTGGGTGACATCTTTGAGTCCTTCTGAGGCAGGGGCTCCACCTGTGCGGATGCTCTGCTAGTTCATCACGGGCTGCTTACTCTCCATTGCCAGCTGAGGGTCTGGGACAAGGTCAGGGCCTCAAAGGGAGGGAGCTCCCGAGATATCTGTCCAGTGTCCCCAGACTGCACTATCTCCTCTCAAGTTCCCTTTGCTCCATCCTGCCCAGAGATGCCCCTTGCCTTGCTGTCTCTTCTCTTCCCCCCTTACCTCCTTTGCACTCCACCCCTTTATCCTTAGCCTACTGGAGTTGTTCCTGCCCTTCAGAAGTCCCAGCCGCTCACGTGCTAAAGAGGCCGCAAGAGTGTGTGTGTGTATGTATGTTTGTATGTGTGCACACATGTATGTGGATATGGACATGCATGTGTGTTTTGCGAGGGACCCCAGCCAGGGCCTCTAGGGTATGCTCTACCACTTAGCTACACCCCCAGCCCTTATCATGTTTTCTGTCTCTTTCCTTCTGTTCTTTCCTTTCCTCCCTTCTGACACTCTCCATATTTAGCGCAGGTTGACCTTACGATCGATCCCCTTAGCCCTGCCTCCCAATACTGGGATTATAGGTGGTGCACTGTAATGCCAGCTCATTGTAGTATTTTCTGTAGGGAACAGAAAGATAAACAGTTTTTCTGACTGCAAAATTGAGCTTATTATCAATGGTTTAGAAAAAATTATGATAATATAGTTTAAAATTTTACAGCTGTTGTCAACTGAGAACTTCAAATTTTCTTTAGTGATGCTGTATTTTGTATGTTAACCATACTGTAGAAAAGAGTGTTGAGCAGGACCTGATCCCAACTGCATGCATTAAAAACCTCGCATATCTGGATAGTCACACCTTTCTGATGCCGGCTGCTCGTACAGGTGTACTCCGTTCTCTGTACTGAGTAATGGTGACAGCGGGCCAGGCCAATTGGTTTGGTGAACAGGAAGAGCGTGTCTGACAGCCGTCCTTTCCTGGCGGGCTAACAATAACTTACAGACAGATAATGCCTGCACGTCTCACAGATAGGTCTCGTCAGTCAAACCTAGGTATGTCTCCTGACACCCCCTTGCCCAATCTGACCACACACACCCTCTTCAGTCCCAGCGGATGCCAGGTCTGACAGAGAGTTGGTCATGAATGAAAGGGACAGGTCAGGTCTATTCACGGTAACTGACTTCTGTGCGCTTGCAAAAGGTGGTCCGGGGAGTTGAGACTGTTTCATTGTTGGTTCAGATGTCTTGCACATGTGACTTCTTCCATACTATTTGTTTTAAAACCGCAGCACTAAAACACTGAAGTTCTCCACCAGGCAACATGTGTCGAGCAGCTCGGGAACTTCAGCCCTATGTTTTGTTTGTGACGTGCGATCTTGTGTAGAGTCCTGTGTGCGGCTCAGCAGCCAGACCCCTCCTGGCTGCTGTGTGGATCCCACACGAATATGAATGAGCTGTGTAAAGCGGTGGTGAGAAATGATTGATTTTTTTTGAAGGCTGAGGTGACAGTTCGGGTTGGGTGTAGGTCATGAGGGACGGGGTGCTAGGATAGCATCAGGGCCGTGGGCCTGAAAATCAGGTTGCCTGCTGGATTTGTGGTGTCCGGAGACAGTGAGCTGTGGGTGGAGCAGAGCAGGTGTGGGGCCATTCCAAGCCTGTGGTGTACGGGCGGCCAGTGGACGTCTCGGTGAAGAGACAGAGTGGATGCAGGTTGCAGGAGAGAGGAGATGTGATCGTGGAGTGGCTGGTCAACCTACAGGGCATATCACCCCAGGCTGGGGTCCCTTCGGGAGAGTCCCAAATGCCCCTGTATGACCTCTTCATCCTGGTGACTCCTTCCTCCTGCCTGGGCTGAGACATCTGCCACTGAGGAGGTGAGAAAGGTGGGGACCCACATTTCCACCGTCTCCCCATCTGCTTCAGTTCCTGCCTCACTTGCCCTCTTCCCGCCCCCCCCCCCCCCCCCCCCCCCCCCCCCCCCCCCCCAGGAGCCAGCCTTTGAGCATTTGGTCCTCTCCCTGCCTGCTGCCCTAGTGCTGAAACCCAGGGTTTCCAGCAAGTACTTCACCATAGAGCCGCACACCGAGCCTTCCCTGTGAGGCAACCGCGCACGTGAACCCAGAAACTGTGCTGGTTTTCCAGGTTCCTGACCACACCTGAGAAGCTGTTGATCTCCTTATACAGAATCGTGGTGAAAGGGATGTTTTTCTTTTCTTTGGTTTAATAATTTATGTAGCTTTATTCTATGTGCATTGGTGTGAAGGTGTCAGATCCCGTGGAACTGGAGTTACAGACATGTGTGAGCTGCCCTGGCTTCCACATTTTATTTAGCTTTTGTTTTTTTTACCCTAAGGGAACGGGCTTAGGAACTTTGGGACATCCCTCTTTGTATTTCTCACACTTCATTTTGCTGACAAGAGCTGTCTGAGAAAAATGGGAACAGAGGACCTTCTCCACAGAGAGAAGACTTACTCCTGTGCCTGGCACCTGTAGTTCTTGGCAGATAGGGAGTCTGGTAGAATTCCTCTTTGGTCTCACCTGAGGAAAAGCTGGCAGAGTGCCAGTCCTGGTCTCTGAGGCCCTGAGGTGGTCCTTTGCTAACCCAAAGGAAGCTCTGCCAATGGCGATAAGACCTTGGGGCTGGGGAAGGACAAGGCTAAAATCACGTAGCCAGAATCCCATAGCCAGAAGAGTGTAAAGTTGGCAATCAGTTCCAGGCATTCCACTTCCATCCCCGCCCCAGCGCTGAGATAGGTGGGAACTGAGTAAAGCCTCTGGGCACTGGGAACAAAGTAGGGTGCAGAAGAGAGGGGGTCCTGGCCACCCCTCTCTCCCAGCCTCTCAGCTGGCCTGCGGCTGCCTTCTCCTGGGAGTTGAGGGGAGGGTTTGGTTTCCCCAGGTTGAGCCAGTGTCAGGATCCCAGTGTTGCTATCTCTGCTTACTCCTAGCCTCTGGTAAGTGTTGCCGGATGTCTCTTTGCAGTGGCTGGAGACTAGTCACAGAAGCCGGCGAAAGGACCTGAGAGGTGGGGACAGCTTCCTGAAAGATGTCATAGTTAATTTGTATCCTCAAGAAGACGAGGTGGGGGGCTGGAGAGATGGCTCAGAGGTTAAGAGCATTGCCTGCTCTTCCAAAGGTTCTGAGTTCAATTCCCAGCAACCACATGGTGGCTCACAACCATCTGTGATAGGGTCTGGTGCCCTCCTCTGACCTACAGGCATACTCACAGACAGAATATTGTATACATAACAAATAAATAAATAAATATTAAAAAACAAAATAAATAAATAAAAGAAAA